CCAGAGCCTGGGGACACCGCCGTCCCGCTCCAGGCAGCCACTAGCCTGTCACTGGTGTCCGGGTCTGCATGTCTTGTTTGTAAAAGTTTTTCGGATCCTTAGTTCCCTGATCAGGGATTGAACCTGTGTCCTCTGCATTGCAAGCATGGAGTCCTAACCCCTGGACTGCCAGGGAAGTCCCTTTTATAGTTTTTATATGAAGAGAATCAGAGGGGGGGTTGTCCCCGGTTTGGGGGCTTACCGGGAAAGCACATGTGTATGGGCATGAATGTCCACCCCCACCCCCCACTTAGTGCAGTACCTGGGGGTGCAGGGGCTGGGCACAGGCTGGCGGTGGGGGGAGTGTCCTGGGTCCCCCACCCCCCGCCCTCGCCAGCACCTGGTCTGTCTCCGTCTCACTGTGGTTTCGTTTGCATCTCCCTTGGGACCGGTGACGTTGGGCATATTTCCGTGTGTTTATTTGCTGTGCGTGTTTTTTCTGTGGTGAAGTGTCTGTTCAGGCTCAGGTTTTCGTGAGGTTTCTTGGCCTGTTTTTTAAAAATCAGGTTGGTTGTTTTCTTGCTGAGTTTTGGAAGTTCTTGACACCTTTTGGGTCTGGGACCTTGTTAGCCATTTGCCAGCACCTGTCCATGCTAGTCTCTGAAGAGCAGGCTTCTTTCAGAGTTGGGGGTTTTCTGGGGCCCCCACCCTGCCCTCCTGGGGTGGGCTTGGGGGGTTGCAGTGCTGCTTTGCCCGTCCTCTGTAGGTGACTGTAGGTGAGTGCTCACCACCCCACAGACTGGGGTGGTCACCACCACCACTGCCTTCCTCAGGCCCGCCCCAGCGGGTGTGTGCGGGGCCTGGAATGGCTGAGGAGGGGGCACTCTAGCACCAGGCTCCCCCTGCGCTGTTGGCCCCTCCGGAGGGTGGGGGGGCACAGGGAAGTCTGGAGAGCGCGGCCCCCCTGCACATCCCGGCATCTGTGCTGGGAAGCCCTTCCCGAGGCAGGAGAGGTGGGGGCTCTGCCTGACCCCCGGACCCCCTGCCTTAGCGTCTGGGGGTGGGGCAGGCGTGACCCTCACTGCTTCTGTTAGGACCAGGTGCCCCACATGGGCCTGAGCCTTGGGCCCCTGGGGTGAGGGGCTGCAGGGGGAAGATGGGGGTTCCAGCGCAGCCGAAGGTGGGAGGGACCCCTCCACACTAGGCACCCCTTGCCGTGGGGACACCGAGGCTGAGTCGGGGTTTGGGGCCCGGCCTCTGGGGCCACAAAGGGAGGCCTGGATGAGGCTCCCCACCCAGCTCGCTCGTCCTGGACTCTCACAAAGCGCTCTCTGGACCACAGTTTCCAAACAGAATAAGTGGTGGTTTCCAGCCAGAGTTACCACGGCAACCCTCAGCCTCACCACCGCCTCCCCTGGAGGCACAGATGGCAGCCGGTTGAGCCAGGAGCTGGGACTCCCTCCGGAGCCGCCCGTCTCACCCCCCCCCCCCCCCCCCCCCCCCCCCCCCCCCCCCCCCCCCCCCCCCCCCCCCCCCCCCCCCCCCCCCCCCCCCCCCCCCCCCCCCCCCC